CATCACAGGGCCAGAGGAGGACGGGGTCCGAGTTGTGTGCATGGCCTCGGGGTGGTTCCCAAAGCCCCAAGTGCAGTGGAGAGCTCTAAGTGGAGAGAAGTTCCTGACGTTCTCTGAGACCCAAGCCCAAGATGCTGAAGGGCTGTTCACCATAAAGGCAACTCTTGTGGTGAAGGACAGTTCTTCTGGGAATGTGACCTGCTCAGTCCTCAACCCCATATTGGGCCAGGAGAAAGCAATGGCCATTTTCATCCCAGGTCAGTACTACTTCCCACTCCTAGAAGTGTGGGATTATCTGGTTGGGGGTCCCTGTGTGTTCTGGGTGGGGCCATCCTGAGCAGTGCCCTGATGGGGTGTCTGGCTGGGCACAGAACCCTTCTTCCCTCAGAGTTCTCCCTGGAAGCTGACTTTCATGGTGATCCTGACTGTGCTGATGCTCCTACTCCTTGGGGTTGTCTTCTACATCATGAGAGAACATACTGCAAAGCTCAAGGATATGCAGGAATGGGAGAAACTGCACAGAGACAAGGAGGAGGACCGGCAGATAAAGGAGGAGGCACTGAAGGCCACAGGTAAGGCAGGACAGGGCCAAGGCAGACAATGTGGAAGCTGGTGCAGAGGAGAAGTGGACAGTAGGCCCTTGGCCAGGAGCGGGGGCTGAGGAGGACCAGAGAGGACAGGTGGGGCTGTGGAGGCTCAAGGGGTCTGAAGTTAGATCTTCATGGAGACATATAGATGCTCTTGTGGGTTTTCCAGGTACAGTCTTTGCTGCTCTTAGTGATGGGAGTTTATGTGTATTTTTCATTTTGTTTTCAGATGAACTCCAGGCAGAACTTGGTATGTTGTGTCCTTTCCCAGAAGTTTCTATGTCACATTTGTAGGAGACATTCTGGTTGTCAGCTCACCTGTTTCCTGTGTTGCCTTTCAGACTGGAGGAAATCTGCTTACCTGGCCGGTGAGTGACTGTCTGGATATCCTTGGGTCTCTTGCCCCCTAAGCCATAGTGTCCCCTCTCTGTTTCATGCAGAGACATGAGGACCCGTCCCTGGTGCAGAAGTGGAAACTGGTTGGAGACAGAACTTGCTCCATGGGCTTCCCCCATCTGGGCTATTGTTTCGCACATGGTGTTTTGAAACCTGGAATGATGGTGGTCACTGAAGTCTGTCGTGCATCTTGGATTGACCTACCCACCGCCTTTGTAGCTTTTAGTTTTCAATGCAACTGGTTCTCAGTCAACCGGAATACTCTGGAATATTTTAGAGAAACTATATAAATAAGTGGGGGTCATTAAATTCAAGATTGTGATCCCTCTACATAACACCATTGTGGGAGAGTCTTTTCTCTCCAGTTCCTGGAGGTACTGATCACAAAGTGTTGGGTAGAGGACTGGGCAGAGCTTGGGTGGGAATGTCATGGGATAAGTTATTACTGGACCAGTAATGTGTTTTCTGAGAACGTTTGGCCACTTTTACCATAGAGCTTACCTAACATCCTGGTCCTTATTTCATTTCCCCTTTGTGTTATTTCCCATATCTCTCTGTCTTGGAAATCATTGGATGTAATAATGATTTCTTACATTCATGAAAATGTATATTTTATTCCTTAATATATTTTCATACATTGTATAATTTTTGACCTTTAAGGCAAATTGAAAGCAGATGGAATAAAAATTTTGTGTGTTTTTCTGTCCATGTGAAAATTTCTTTATTTTGGGATGCAATTGATTTGGGATTCATTTCAGAAAAATTCTGTGTATGAAATTTATTAGTATTTTCTTTTGGTAATCAAGAATGGTTGGACATAGTGTATTGTTCTTTGAAGGAATACTATTTTTT